GCTTCTTTTCAATTTTTCGAGATCTTCTTCTGTGGGAAGGTTCGCCAAATTTCACAGATACATAGCTAAAGGTACTAGCCTCCAAATGGTATAGTAGCCCGCTGCCCTATCCCCTTTGCTTTTCTGCCATTCCTCTATATGTCTCGGCACTTTTGAATGGGATGACCTAATAAAGGCACTTCGTTCAAAGTCTGACCGGAATTTCTGGAACAGTTTCAACAGGGATTTCCCGTAAACAAGCCCGCTTTGCTCCCCTTCTCACATGCCGATAAGTACACTGCTAGCTTGCTGGGAAGGGTTTATGATTCTTATTGACCCTGCGCTTGTAAACCCCCTCCCCACCACTTCGATGCAACTCCCCCCTCCTCCCCAAATGGGGATTGGGCCCTGTGATTACGGTGACTTATTCAATGAATGCGAAATACGGCCTTAGAGCCATCTGAATGAACCAGCCTTACAGTGTTACAATTACAGACAAATTTTTATTCAGAGAGATTCGTATTTGTTCTGTTTCCATCATGTTGGCTGGTTATACCATAAGACATACACAAATCCAGCTTAGCTTGACTTCATTATTAGTGCTGAATAAGACGACTTGAATGCTAAATAGTGTAGAGGGACTCAATTCCAGGCACTGTATTGAAGATCGTAGATGTATAGGACGGCAAACCACAATTGAGATGAATTAGAAAGGAAGGTAATCAAAGGCACATCTCGCAAGCGTAAGTACCAGTAGTGGAAACAAGTGTAGGGGCTAGTTGACTAAGCATCAGCTCTGAAGAAAAAAATGTGGAGGGAACATTTAGAAATTCTTTACAAGCTGTACTTTTTGCAGCTAATTATGAGCGGAAGGCGAAGATTAGTTGGGACACTTAGGGGAAAGCCTAAACGTGATAGGCGAGAATATTCAACAAGACGATACTAGCAAACGCGGGGTGGAGCGTTGTGCTCAGATCGAGCCACTTGAGCAACCTTAAGGGCCACTTTCTATCATTTTTCTGACGCGAATGTAGGACAAAGTGGTCCATTATGACCGATGGATGCCTTTGCTGTCCTTTTTACTGCCTTTTTCCGCAAATTGCTTTGAGTCTCATGAGTTCCTTCAGAGCAGATCACCGTTGGGGGTTCCCCAACAGAGAGGTCGTGCTTGGCCGCGGAGGAGGGGGTCGTATTTGGTCTAAAAAAATGTTTTTGATTGTTCATTTTTTCTTGTTTCTATAAGGGGTAGTCTTATTTGTCTTCTAAGAGAAATCTGCGGTGTGGGGAACTTTTCACATGTGCTGCACTTGTTGACTTTTCATGGCTTTTCCTTTTCACATGTGCTGCATAATCCGCCTCCTCCCTGGACAGCTCGATCGTATAAGAGAAGGGCACCAGGGGTCGCATCAAGCCATTCCTTAAGGAGGGGGGGGGGACGGACACAAAAAAACCCCAACCAGTGATGCGCCTTGTGTGTCCTCGAAATGTATGCAAACTGAGTAGCGTGGAGACGGAAACGTAAACGCAAATAAACGGCGAAGACAAATAATATTCAGATATCTGAAATGTGTCAAATGAATAGAAAAATCTTAGGATGTTCAAGGTCCTGACCTAAGGGAAATAATGTGCAGGGATATGCCTAAATAACATCGTATGTGATAAATGAAGGAAAGGGAGTGGCAGTTCCCAAAGAAGAAGAAACTAGGCGCGCATTTGTTGTTGATCGGTTCTTGATTTCGCTCTCTCAGGACATTCACAGTAACCGCCATCATCTCCAGGATTTCCCGCGATACCTGGCTGAAAATAAAAGCACCTCTAGGAATCCACTAGATTACGTGTGAAATTCTAATAGACCACTTAGCTGATCATCTCAAAGCACTCAAACATCCTCACCTGTCCGTTTTCACCGGGCAGACCAGCCATTCCATCCATGCCGGCATTTCCTTGGAAACCCTCTTGACCGGGTTCTCCACCCTTGCCCATCTCCCCGGCTCTACCGGGTATACCCTGTTTGCCTCGTAGTCCAGGTCTTCCAGGAGGACCTGGCATGCCGATACCTGTGAAGCAATCTCGTCCTGGTGCACCATCCATTCCGTCCTGAAACGTTTTTTAAAATACCATAACTCGCTATGCTCGCTCACTGGCTTGCACTACAGTTAACCTTACCTGTCCACTCCTCCCAGGTTCGCCCGGATAACCTGGCTCACCACGATCACCTCGTTCTCCGTCAGCACCTGCCGCACCTCGTTTGCCTGGCTGCCCAGGTCTACCAGGCGGCCCTGGAGTTCCTGTTATTCCTGGGAAACCTGGCGGCCCAGGAGGACATTTGATCAAAACTAAATGAGATAACTATGAAAACACCGAAGAAACTACAGATAATGTTCCAGCTCACGTTGTGGTTGGATGGCAGGTGGTGCAGAAGTCTTGAAACCTGGCAAGCCTGGTGGTCCTACTTCACCATCTGCACCAATTAGTCCGGGCTTACCAGGTGCACCCGGCGGACCGGGAGGACCTGGTGGGCAGCTTCGGCGTGGTAGCCCACAATCTTCAAGTTGTGTTGTTATGCATCTCATTCTATGTATTCGATAAAGACGACATATCTTATAAACAGACACCCTTGAACTGAACTTCACAACGAAAAGTAATCGCCAAAGGAAAGAGCAGGATAAATGCATGGTAGGAAGCGTAGGTAGTAGTATTGAATTATGGAAGGGCTAATGTAAGGGATGCAGATAACCCTTAGTGAAGAAGAAAAAGAAATCCAGAAGGGAACGTCGCAACGTTACAAGCACCCTACTGGAACCCTTATGGAAAACGGAAAAGCGGACTTCGGAGTCAGTGGAAAAAGGGAGATGTCACTGGAGAAACTTTGCGCCTTAGCCTATTTAGCTTACAACCTCCTCTCGCGAAATGGGTCACGGCTCGAGAAGACGGGAGGAGAAAAGAATGATTACAATGTCTCACCTACCGCGATCTTCTGAGCTTGCACCTTTCGTTGCCCCCTCTTTCGATCTTTCAAAAATCGTCTGCACATGATGTGGGCCGACCGAATATTTCGAAGCACAACCCGCGGAGCTCCAGACCGAGGAACATAGACTATGGCAGGGAGACGGAAGAAGGTTTGCACCCCAGAAAGCTTCCAGAAAGAGAGATCTTGAAGAGGCAGAGAGACGGTACAAGGTTCGACGGAACAAGGTTTGGAACACCCGCGAAGCTCTAGTAAATCGGAACCCAGACGCTGGCTAGGAAAAAAAGCTGTTGGGCCGTGTTAGGGGTGGTAGACAGCTGTTGCTGCCTCAAGCAGAAT